GTCTCTTATACCTTCTCAATTCAAGAACAAATGCACTTAGTTTGAGAAAAAATGACTCATCTAGGTTTTGATTTTTTCCAGTGTATACTTTTTCTTGTTATGCCAATAACAGAGACAGATAATCCATGTTGCTGATCTTGGTTCATTCCTAACTGTCTGATTAAGTCATCTGCTATCACACTTCCTCCTCAGCCTAAATGTTCACACCGATTTGGTTTGAGCCATGGTTTTATAAGCTTTAATATCCCCAGTGGAATGACACCTGTTATGTCTCTTGTGCATCAGATTTATAGGTGCACATTAAACAGGAATTACAAAGGTTCCCGCTTGGGACTAAAATGCAATTAATTGCATGAAATTTTCTAATGCGTTAAAATATTTCTAATTATGATATAATTATTATCATCAGAATATCTTATTAGAAGAACCTATCAATGTCATTAGATTGCTGCATGTGAGTCTATGTTTGTGTGACAGTGTGAGATTTATTTTCTGATGATCATTGGTTGGCATCATGATTGGGTCCTTCACCCAATCTAATGGTTCTGCCATCAGCCCTGAACAAGCTTCTCTCATCCTTACAATTTGACGCCCACCTTATTTAAGTATTTACAAGCTAGACCTCTTCTTTCCAGTAAACTCATTCTACAAAACCTAGAATCCAGACTGTTCCAATATGAAGTGCTCCTTTGGTTTTACATTACGCAATTTTGTCTGTCTGCTGCTCGTGTGGCTTTAGATGAAAGTCAGAAAACCAAAGAAACTATGTTGATATAAATCTGATATATCAGCTTCAGCAGTTGTTAATGGAAATTATTTTTTGTCTGAAAAGGTGAGGTGGAATAACAATATTTTATTGTTAATATGAATAAATGGAGTGGAGTAAAGGCAGAAGTAATCAATTGTCTTTTATTGTTTTTCAAAAGAAAATGAACTTTTGAACAAGATACAGAGATTGTTAAGATGCAGCTTAGCAATCAGTTTTTAAAGGAAGGCATCTGAAGCAGAAGAAAAAAGTTATATTCATTGAATCAGCGCAGGACTAGGAGCACTGGTCTCTCCTCAGTGTCTCTGTGACTGCAGTCTGGGAGCCCTGGGTGGCCTCACAGGTCACAGAGCCCACCTTCCTCCACTGGTCTGCAGGGAGCCTCAGGGTGCTGCTCCAGCTGTAGAGGCCGTCCTTCTGCAGCACTCCTCTGCTCTTTTCCTCCTCCCAGGTGAAGGTGTTAATGCTGC